ATTATATTTATATAGAGAGGCTGAAGTTACCTGAAGCAAACACGGACTTTTACCATGGTAACTTCAGCCTAAAATATGTTAACAAGGCAGGTAAGGATAGCTGACCACATTAATCCTCAAATATTAGCGGATTTTATCTTTTAAAAACAACACTGATATAACTACATATATATACTACGTATACATGTATACATTATTTTATAAATAATGTAAATACATTATTTTATTGTCTACTAATTACCAAAAATCACAGTTCTGTCTCTCCAACTCAATGTATTTCAATTGCCCGCTATGAACTTCCTGGAACTATTTGAGGTCTACGTGAATCACGTGACGATCGAGCGTTTTGGACTTCCGTTGACGCAACTCTCTCTTTCTATGGCTCTGCACCCCCGCATTAAAGTCGCTACCTGATTGCCTAATACCAACCCCAACCCTAATCCTAACCCCTCCCCCACACCTACTCCTAAACCTACCAATACTAGGGGATGCATAATCTGGCAGGGTGCAAATTTCGCCACTACACTGCCACTTAAATTGACAGTAATCTAAGAAACCCAAGGACAGGTTATTGCTGACCGGATGCCACATTCGGTATGGCAAACGAATGATAATAATAACAAAAAAAATTCATATCTTTTATCAAAAACAGTAGCATTTAGCAATAGTAGGCTACACAGATCTGTAGGTTGGAGAATGAAATGAAATGTGCATGAACAAGTCTATGCTATTTCTTTCAGTATAGTAGTTACATTTTTTACAAAGTCATGCTAAAAACATTCATAAGAGCACTAGACAAAGTTATTATCTATATAGCAATGGTTATTACTCAAAATTATAACAGTAAACTGTATTGTTGCATGAATAATAAACAACTGATAAAATTATCCACCCCAACCTATAGTAAAATATAAACAAATTTTGATGCAATAAATATGGTATAATTTAACAACGTTTATCCCTCCAAAACAGAGAAAACATATTTCAGAAACATCTACATTTCTGTCTCTTTTAAAGTGTTTAGTGTAAATAATGAGTTGTATTTGTTGGGGTTATTACAGCACAATTCTTAACCCCATCCCAGACCTCACTAATTTTCAAACCCTGGCTACGGCCATGCTATCAGTGTATGAAGGGAATCCAGGAGACTATAATTGATGCTCTTTAATATGCTTTATTGTGATTTTAATTAATTTCATTGAAAGGAAAAATAGCCTACATCATTATATCATGCATTACTAAAAAGTATAAAGATTTTTTTTAACAGCCCCTTCAAGAAATAACTGCATTGATTATTGTAACTATAACCTTTAATCAATCCATGCTGCAATATCTGCCACAAAAAAAAAAAAAATTATAATAATGCTCTACAACAATCAGCTTAAATCATCAGTCACTTTTGGTTATATATATAAAAAAAAAAAAATGTAATTTGCTTGGCGTGACAGATCAACAGAAGTCAAGCAGGATATTTTTTATCCACAAATGCTCTATGCTGTTTTTAACAGTGTATTTTTTTTTTAAGTAAAAGGTGTATAAAAATTATATGGTAAAACCTGATAATTGGTTACTGTTCCTTTACTATAAATGGCAAAAAACTGTACTGGATCTAACAGGACATTTTGTCATTTTTTTAACAGTAAAATGCTTTTAAATGTACAGACTTTTGTAATCATCACAATCATTTACAGCGAAAAACCATAAACTGACATTCCTATAACTTGCATTTTGCATTATTTATTTGCATCATTATTATGGCTATCAGTATATTACACAGGTACAAAATAGATCATATTACTTTAGGTGGAATATTAGCATTATGTCAGTTAATGAAATGTACAGATTTTTACCATCATTTTAGTAATGTCCCCTTGAATAGTATTCTTCATGGTGCGGTTTTGCTAACTTTTTTTTTAAAATTCGGATAATCGGATAAAGATTGTACAGGGTTCTTCTTTTCAGTATATTCTTCACACTTGGTAGGAGTGCATCTGCAGCTCTCAACATAAATGTAGTCATGAAGGATCTCGCTGCTGTTGGCACATTTCAGCATCACCTGTCGTTGGCTGAATTTCTCCTCCTGGCAGCAAGAACAGTTGTGCATCATGATGTTCTTTTCCATCGAATACCTGCACGGGTTTACAAGAAAACACCAGTCAGATGGCTGCAGTATAGCTGGATGTGAGCTTATCCTAACAAAGGCTTGGATGCGTAAGGCACAAATAATAATGTATGAATTTCAACAAATATATGATGAAATACCAAACAAAAATGGCTAACAAATGAGCTGACTTCATTTTATTGAGCCTTTCTGCTACTGGTTTCAAGGTGATTTGTTTTTGTGGATTTTTGTCGTTGTTGTTTTTGGATCATTACTGTTACTCTGTAACTCCTAAGACATTTACGGTTCTTCTGAGAATTTGAAAGAAAAAAAATAATTATGTGTCATGAATAGGTGTGCAATTCTCTCACCTTGATCCGTCGTCACAGTGGCCAGTGCAGGATGCAACTTCTACATCCTCGATGGAATTGCAATCTGTCACATGCAGACGGATGACGTTCTTCTCAAGAACACAGTTGCTGGTTTTACCTGAGAGATAACAGAGGCAGGTAAGCCTTACCTCTCGTGAACAATATATGCTTTACATTTTATGTAGTGCCCAACATGTTATTTTTCAATTTACTTAACATAATTTAAATGATCTGCATAAATATAATAGGGTGGAAAAACAATTATAACGTTTTTGTCAGACTTTAAGGAAACAATATCTTACAGATCTGGCAGCATCCATCGTTATCAAATTGCACTGTTCCCTGTAAGAACACAAACAAGAAAGGAAACCATTTAGTATGGTAAAATTCTGTCTGCATTGTGAGATAAAAAGTCACAATTATCTTTTTTAATGTATTTTACCTGTGGCCGAAACAGGATTCCATGCAAAACAATGATCACAGCCATTTGAACATAATTACTTTTCCCAAACATATTGTACATTTTCATTGATTTGCTACAATTTGCACATCTTATTTTCTTTAAACACTACCATGCAATTCTCCAATCCAGTGTTCAAATGGTTAACATTGCCATTTAGACTTTTTTTGTACAATGTTTTGACAAAATGAGTAATTTATACTGCAGAAGAATGTCAAAGCGGCTTTTTTATTTTTAGTGAATAATTGACATTTGGTCCCTTACACAAAGAATCTAGAAGACTACTTTTTGTAGTGTCCATTTTTAAGCCCTTATCCACTTTCATTGCTTGGAACAATATGGAGGTGAGTAAATGATGATATAAAATACAAGCGGAACAAGGATGTAATCTGTGCTCCTCAAGTTCAGATGTTGTACTTACAGGCACACAGTCATCTGGATTAAAGGGCGGGCACTGCTTATAGCTCTCCATTGTCATAAACATGCCATTCCTTTTCAGACAGGTAGCATTCATGCATTTAAAATCGTACTGCTTTCCATCCTAAACAAAAAGAAGACTGAAACATGAAGACTGAATAACAGAGCAGATGATGAACTGAAATAATTGAAGAAAAGTTTGAGAATATTTTTAAATGTACCTTGAGAACATGTCTGGTTTTGTCTGGTGCATCATAAATACAGGCTACTTGTCTACATGATCCACAGCACTCTCCGTCTTTTTTCCCATATTCAAACCCCTTGAAGTGCAAAAACAAACAAGTTTATATGATTTTTAATACTACCGCACACAATGCTGCATTGGGGCTGTCACAAACATCCTCAATAGTTGGAAAAATGTGCAAAAATGTGAAATAAGCAACAACCAAAAACATCCGGAAGAAGTGTTTGATGCAGAGTTGAAGCTACAGATTCTACTTACAGGCCCACAATCAAATGAACTCAAGTAAGGACATTCTGTTTTGGTCTTCTCAGTCACTAACAAGCCATTCAATTTATGACAGGTAACAGTTTCACATTTGTAATTGTCAACGTCTCCATCCTAACAAAAGATAGACAAACTCCATTAGGGCTGAAGAATAAAGCAAGATTCTTTGTCTGATGAACTGAAAGACTGAATAAAAGTTTAAGAATGTTTCCAGTGTACCTCGAGAACATGTCTGGTTTTGTCTGGTGCATCATAAATACAGGCAACTTGTGTACATGTTCCACAGCACTCTCCAACTTTTTTCTCATATTTAAACCCCTTGAAGTGAAAGATAATTGTATACAGTGGTTTTAATAATCCAGTGGCACCTTTTCACTGCATTTTCAAATGTTTTAAGTAATACTTTACAAATGATGATGTTAAAAATTAGATGTAAAACAATATAAAATATTTATTTTTTAAATTCCTTTCTGATCTCGTCTCCCTTTCTCTCATACTTTGCTTGTAAATATTGTTCTTAATCTTATCCTAATAAATTAGAAAAAAACCTGCTTATTATTATTATTATGCGAATTTCCATAATAGATTGAAAAATGTGCAAAAAATTGAAATAAGCAACAACCACAATACATCCAGAACTAGTGTTTTATATGTGCAGTTCAGTCTAGAGAATCTACTTACAGGCCCACAGTCCTTTGAACTCAAGAAAGGACATTCTGTGTTGTTCTTCTCAATCACAAACGAGCCATTCATTCGACGGCAGGTAACAGTTTCACATTTGTACTTGTACTCCTCTCCACTCTACAAAAAGACAGCCAGAACACTGAGGAACAGAGCAGATTCTTTGTCTGATGAAATGAAAAGATAGAGAATGTTTTCAAATGTACCTTGAAAACATGTCTGGTTTTGTCTGGTGCATCATAAATGCAGGACCCTTGTGTACATGATCCACTTGGGCACATGTCAATGGCACAATCTACAACAGTGAGAGGGGACTTAAAAATGGCACTGCAATCTTGAAGGGATCTTAAAAAAAGAAACTAACTAATCTTACGGCAAACTTGTTTGCTACAGCATGGCTCTGAGGGATTGGTGACATTGACCAGCACAAAGCCGGGCTCAGTGCAGATCTCAGGATTTACATCAGGACACTCTTTGGGCTTACAGAACACTGATTGGCTTGCCCTATCACAGACACAATCCTCACAGTTGTACCTAAAATGCTCATCATACTGCAACGGAAACAAAAAATTAACAGCCATGGGATGCTTTTTCAACAAGTGGCTATTAAATTAACAGTTTAAACCTTGCTGTACCTCACGTGGAGTTCCAGACGGGTCCAAGCATCCTACAAGAAAAGACCAAAATCAGAAACTTTCTAAAAATTGCACGCACACACACACACACACACACACACACACACACACACACACACACACACACACAC